AAAACATTGTTTAAAAAAAATGGTTCTAATTGTCAATTAAAATCGTGTTAAGTGGATAAGAAAGAAGTGTTGAATTTATCGAATGTTGTATATCGGATTCGTAAAGTGAATGTCCAATCAAACTAGTTAGTCAAATAAAACAGGCAAAAAGAATTTGTGGTGATACTAGATCTAAAAATGGTACTCGACTATCAATACATTTGCTAACAAATGGGAATAAATTTGATTTTTAAATGTTTAAATAATAGACAAAGAGTCTCAATTGCTCAGAAGAAGAATAAAAAAGGTTTTATGTATGAAATAATAAATTGCAATAGTTAAACATACTATGGGCTTAAGTTTATGAAGGTCTTATTAATTTTAAATAGTGGCGGTATTTGGAAAGTAATGCCTTCTCATAAGGTTGCAATATTAATGTTGGGATTAAGTCGTTCTCGACAGAATTTGAAATCGTATATTAGAAACCTAATTATGTCAATTTTTAGACATATTTAAGATAGTTTTGTAAAATCTATAGGGTTATATCGATTTTTGAATCACTATAAAAATATGGATTCATAATTTGTAAGAAATACAGGCTTTGATAAGGTCCTAAAAATAGGTCAAATGCTTGGCATTAACAATANGCGCATGAAATAATTTGTAATTCATACTGCGTTAACTAATTAAAATAATACAGACGAAGTAACTGCTTTGATAATACTAGAAATACATTACATTACGTTCCCTTCCCAGATAATTTAAATAGCCCACTTCTCTCACATAACCGGACAATTCTGTTTGCTTTCGACAATCCCTTTCCAAATCGAGCGACATTGATCCTGGTGTTCCTCAAGGCTTTATACTTGGACTCATCCTATTTTTTGGCTATTTTAACATAACACCTAGCCCAAAGAATGTAATAATTGTTTTCTTTGCTGACGTTATCTCTCATTCTTCTTCTTAGCTGATAGGAACAATAACGATTAAATTAAACACAATGCTATGCATAGAAAGTAGCTGCAAACCATTAGAAAATTAAAATTAGTCGTAATAAAACGGAAGCATTAGATTTTAGCAAGCGTAGATCGTTGCTGTACTTGAAAGTTCACATTGACCGTGCACTTCCGACACGTAAGTTGTTCAAATATGTTGTGTTGATGATGAACCGTTAATTTACTTTTAGCTCCCGTGTAAATAATAAGGTGAAAAGCAGCTACTAACGTACTCTGCACCAGTCCAGTCTGCGACCGACCAATAAACGCCTAATATCAGAATTGGGCTCTACCCCCGCAAGTGGCGTGAAAACAAGACAGTGCTGATTCCAAAGCAGGGTAAGAATCCCTTCAGCTCCTCTACATGAGACGATTACCATAGCCCCGATAATGGCGAGATTGTGGTGGCCACCCACCTATGCCTGTGCGTATGACCTTCGTTGTCACCCCATCAAGATCGCCGGTACATCCACGCATGAGGACCACCAGACCAGAGAGGCGCTGAGAAGGACAGACTCGATTGTACCGGCCGAATGTAGGAGATATGGGACCGGCAATGAGGCGCTCTCTCACGTTCTCTCGACTTACCCAGAGAATCACTCGAAGATAGCGAGGAGGTACGATGAATGGCTCCACGTCCTCGTCGCCGGTCTTCTCTTTCTTTCAGGTCGCGGTCGAGGCTCCCCAACGGGCACCGGACGGGTTTAGTCTGCAGCCTGATGTTGTTGTCACCGACGAGGATGGGATAGTTATCCTAGAACTCGCGGTGGCGTATGAAACTGCGGGCATGTTGGACGCGGCTTGACCTCAAGGCGGAGCAATATTGGGTATTGAGAGAAGCCCTCACGGGGCTGCACCAAAAACGCCACTTTGTTGCAGCTGGTGTGGTAGTGGTGGCAACGATGCATACCTGGGCGTACAAAGGCGACGCTCCGAGACCTCTCTCTAACGGCCGTGAGGTCTTCGCTGTCCATTGCCTGCGGCCATATGAATCGGGAGCGTAGCGACCCGTCCAGTGGCAACGGCTGTTGAGCGAGCCACCTAAAACGACGCACCTGGCATGTTATCGGGACACACGTTTGGACCCTAGGTGCTGACGAATGAGATCAGTACGTAGGGATACGAAAACCGGCAGAGGTCGGAAATAGGTTAAATTTTTAGTTTGATCACGGAAAAAAAGTAATAGACTACTCCCGATACACACGCATATCAGAATTTCACACCGCGATGGTACTTGATTACTTCACAATTGAACTATTAAAGTTTTTAAGTAATTCGAGACTAGTGCGTCGTACTAGTCTCGCATTTTTCAAATTGCTTCTTGTATCGGCACAATCTACAGTCAATAACAAGTATAGATTAGACGACAGGTTCGTGCACAAAAGAGTAATGACCGTCTTCTGGTAATAATTTGAGTCTATCATGCCTATCAGTCCATTTGTAATTCCAGCTTTTGTAATTAAACTAAATTACCAGTAAGCCTCGAAAATCATCCACTCCGTGTTGGAAGTAGGAGGACAGACGGTCTTATCCTCCGGTCACCGAGTTCTGGCTCCAGCGACCATCAACAGCACCCAACGCGATCAGTTCCTAAATCCAAACCCATTCACAATCTCACGCATTCTTAAATAGATTATTTTCTATTTAGGTTTCTCTCAATTAGGGTGATGGAGTGCTCGATATCCTTCCATCACATTTTTCACCTGTTAGATCACCAACCTAATTGAAGTTTGATGGCTTACTGATTATTCCCCCATAGACCTACTCACACTACGCAGTCACGCTGATAAATACGTTCACTCACTCTGAACACACAGGGTACACAACAATGTCGGCACTTTGAAAAATAAAACAACCCTATTTTTTACAAGAATCTAAACTGGAGGCCCAGATACTCGCTGCTGTGCTCAATTCTCTTATGGGGTGGCATTCTTACGTGCTCCCTGTTTAGAACCAAAGGGTTTCCGTAATTTGGCTACGGTAGATTGGTTTTAATCTTTATCCCCCAAAAGTAAAGTGATATGATGTTATCATACAAAATTATTCATAATTATAATTATTTAATTTTATATTTTTAAAGGTAGAAACTATAAAGATACTGAAAAACGTAAAAGAAAGGGGCTGTTTTGCAGGATTTGAAAACATGTTGAAAACTGTTTCACTGATGTGAAAAATTACCCAATTTTCCATTTTTCCAAAGATTAGATTGTCTGATTTTTCACAATGATGACGAGTGACGTCCAGAGGATGATAATAATCTGTGATAGGTAGAAAAGGTATATTGAGATATGAATGAAAGAGAGATTTTCAGCCCGATTTCATGACTTCATACCGTTATTTCGTACTACAAAACATACCCGTCACGTAACATTAATTAATTTTTTAAAAGTTGATGTGCTTCATTAAACTTTTTAAAACACGTACTCGTTTTAAAGCACACTAAACACAAGCACAAGTAACTTAAAAGCACACCGAATTAAATATGATATATCGTAGGTGTAAATGTAAATGTTGGTCTGTGTTTTATTGAATATTTTCGTTTTTCAGATTTTCCGAGTTACAATTTAGGTAACAGAGAATCTTCTTGTTAATTTATTACTTCATACTCTTTTTTTACATTTATATCGGGTAGAGGCTTCTAACTTATCGACTACCGTATAAAACATGTACGCGCTTATACGAGAGATAATGCTTAGCGGGGATAACGAGCAGACGGATAGCCGGGTGGTGAAAGATAAAAGCCAACATTTCCGAGAAAATCAGTCGGAGTTGGTCTATACGCGTTTCAGTTGAATGACATCCTCGCGAAAGGGTTGTGCTGTTGGGGCGGTTTAGCACCCGTGAAATGGCACTTTCAGGAAAGGGTGCATTATTCAAAGACAGGACTCAATCGCAGGCAGGGGGGAAGCCGTCAATCACCAGATGAAAAAGACTGCTTTTTACATCGTCCCTTGGAAAAATAGGCTTGTGGGACAAAGCATCACAAATAAACAATCAGACTACGCGGCAAATAAACAAATCCTTAAGTGCAATTTGTACGATCAAATGAATAGGCTTATTATTTGGGGGTCACGAGATACGGTCTGGTGGGACAGAAAGGGTTTAGAAAAACATTTCCATTATCGTGCCAACGTTTCGATCTTTATTGAGATCATCTTCAGGGCTCAAAGTGTTTGTTTTCCGTGTAGATGTGTCGTCCTTGTCTGACCTGTTGAGAGTGCCCAATTATTAAATATGATTCTTTAATTCTGATTTATTAAATCGGTTTTAATTAAAAAATGTATGTTAGTATTACCAGTTTAAATAATTTATGTTTTATTCTAAACAGACCAAATGACGGAAGATTATAGGATATAATTAAATTGAAACATATCTATGGAAGACATTTCGATCATTTGATTTAATTCCCTAATTTCATGGTCCGCTTGACCAATTAATATATTACAATTAATTAAGGTTTTTAGTAGGCAAAAGGGAGGGAAAATTGAAAAGGTGCGGTTGAGATAGGAAGTTAATGTCCGAGCGGATCGAGGTCACGATAGCTCAAGTGGTAGAGCAGCGGCGTATCTAGCCGAAGATCGTGGGTTCGAATCCCGCTCGTGCCCTTGACTTTTTTATCTCGAATAAAAACCTTAATTAATTATAATTTGATTTAATATGAATAGTTTGAACTTTCATTAANAATATATAAAAAAGATAAATGGTGGAGTGAGTGTGTTGATCAATCTTTTTAAAAAGGTGTACCTTCTCACAGTAAGTTGTTTTCAATGATCCGGATTTCGAGCTTCCTGCTCATTATCAAGCTGTGTAGCTCCTTCCACCTGATGATGAACTGTAGGCTCGAAATCCGGATCGTTGAATACAACTTACTGTGAGGAGAGACTATTTTTTAAAAAGTTTGAAATGTAATATGTTGAGTAAAAACACAGGAAAATGAGTCGATAAGAGACGCTGTAATTATTTTTAAAAAACAAACAGGCTTGTATATATATAACATAATGTGAAAATTTGACATCATGTACAGACCTGCGGCAACGTTGAACTGATGCTCCACTGATGAATTCATGAGCTGTCGGTTAGTCTCGACACCTTGAGATTTTAATTTCCGAGCTGCTGGTTTCAAGACTTCTAAAGCTGATTTCATCTCTTCCTCACTAGAAAAACAAAAAAAATTGTCAAAAACAATTAAAAATCAAGAGTAGCTTGAATTTTTCATATATGTACGAAATGTTATTAACAATTCATTTTTTACGTATTTGTGGGTTTTTTGTAAGTGAATAATTTTTGTCACATGTGAGAACTTAACGTCCAACTAGGGAGGTCAGAATAGCTTTATAATACTTTTTCACCTTAAACTTGAATGAAATTGCAAGGTCTATGCGGGCCTCTTTGACCTTACAAGTTACCACTCGGTCACCGGAACGATCATGTTCCCTTAGCAGTATTTGTTTATATAATAAAACAAGCTTGTTGTTTTGAGCAATGGGATTGATCAAATGGATTATATTATTCATGAAAAACCGTTCTCAGACACAACTGGCTCTGACGTCAGGCAGTTCGAGGCAGGGTGATGAGTGGGTCCCGGCCCTAAAAGGAGAAAAACGACCCAGGAAGAGGGTTAAGGAATAAACCGTTTCGTCTACATACTAATGGAAAATGCTGTATCTTTTAAAGAACGTGGGAACGTTAGAGTTGTAAAACCGTTTCGCCGGCTGAATTACGACCACAAAATAGGAATGAAGCTCTGGTGGAAAAGAAGACCTCTGGGCCTTATGTGTGACTTTTTTCAGCCGTTATTGACCACTTTCTCTGTAAATCACTTCATCTCACATCTATTGAGCAGCTACCCTCTCATGTTACTTTTTATTTAGTAAAATTTCCACTTACAATTACATTATTATAATTCAGCGTCTAATTATTTGGTTACATCAATCCTAATTTGTCGACAAAAAAAAAATCACTATACAGAACACTACTGCAACCGATTTGGACTAGAACTGTGGGGCACCTCTAAACCTACCAACATCTAACAAATTCAATCCTTCTAATCCAAAGTCCTTAGTATTATAGTTATCGCTCCTTACTATGTCTCTAACCCTACCCTTCACAATGACCTCAAAATACCCTTTGTAAAAAAATTAATTCCGTCCAAATTCACCCAGTTCCACGACAAACTCTCCATTCACCCCCAACCAACTAGCCCAATTCATGTCCAACATAATCCATCCCTACAATTCTGTCCGCCGATTGAAGGGGAGATGGACTCAGTACCTCCTCATCAAGGACTAACCTTGTACAAAAGTGGAAGACCAACAATGGTTGGCGACTCCCCACAAGATATGATATACAGTGTATACATGTAAATATGTAAATAACCTCAAATTACGAGATATTATTGAGTATACTGTCCTTCACTTAATACATTGATTTATACATTCGCCAAGCTTTCGGCTTTATTGTTCTTCTCTATATTTCTTTCCTCTTTCGTAGTGCTCAAAACATAATAAAAGTATAACATTGTTTTAAAGACATCATAACATACTATCAATAAAAACCCTAATACTAATAATTTTTAGAGGCATTAACAATCTACAGTTAAATTTGTGTTACAAAACACCTTTCTACCTTGTAAACTTAAAATATCATGATATACAGTTTATATTTCAAAATGACTACCAACATAACTACCAAATAGCAAAAGAACTCCCCAATTACATTAAAATTTAGTTATACAATAGAACGATGTGTGTAAGATAATAAATAATAGTAATAAATAATAAATAGTAAATACAAATAAAGTAATTATAACATGTTGTGGTATCATCACTGTAGGGCGAAGGTCCTGAGCTCGAAGCCAGCTGTCCTAAATTCGACACCGATGTACTTACATATGTTTAAAAAAATAATATATTGCAAATAGTGAAAATAAAACAATTTAATAAATAATCTATATATGCTAATTTTTCAACAACAAATACATTAGCATCTAATATGTAATATTTCAATTTAACAACTAGTTTACATCCAAAGATATCCGCAATTCATCCTCTTTAATTGTATGGTAACGACTCCCATAAAACGAATGCTGCTGAGCTGAATTTGTGTAAAAAAATTGTTATTGTTTTATTTTAAAATCGATTTATTTTCAACATGGAATTATTGAGTCTAAATAGTCTTATTCAAATATGTTGGTAAACGGCAGAGAAAATTTCATATTTTTAATTTTGAAGTTTTTTCGGAGGATCTACGGAAGAGGTCAACACAGAGAAAAATTTCCTTTCGGCTTCGCCGAGCTTTCGACAGTTCTTATACGGTCATCTTCAGGGCCTGTTTTTATTATCATATAAAAAAAATTAAAAACATGAAAAAACAAATGGCACTAAAATTGAAATTTTTAATTATCTTACTTAAACCTTAATGGGGAAATAAAAAGAACATGGTGTCTTGGGCCCAGAAGTACATTACGTTTTTTTTGTACGTTTTTTTTTGTACTTTTTTTTTTTTTTGGTGTACTGTGCCCAAGACACCATGTTTTTTTTATTTCCCCATTAAGGTTTAAGTAAGATAATTCAAAATTTCAATTTTTGTGCCATTTGTTTTTTCATGTTTTTAATTGTTTGTTTTTTATATGATAATAAAAACAGGCCCTGAAGATGACAGTATAAAAACTGTCGAAAGCTCGGCGAAAACCGAAAGGAAGTTTTTCTCTGTGTTGACCTCTTCCGTAGATCCTTCGTAAAAACTTCATGTTTCCAGCAGGTCGATAACCCAGCTCATCGTTACGTTTTTAATTTTAATTTTATATAAAGTAAAACCATTATTTATTAAGATTTATGTTAGATGTTTTGGAAATTTACACCCGTCACGAGCAATCTTTTATAGTTAAAACATTATTTTACTATATCCATATTGGATTTTAAAGGATATGATTAACATACATTTTCTATGGGCAGCTTGGCCAAAATAGAAGATGGTTATCTATTAATACTTGTCCATACTACATACTTATTACATACAATATATATGTATATATATATATAATATTTATTTAAAATACATATTAATGACCTTTTACGTTTTTCCAGCATATCCGAGGTGCGTCAACGACCCCGAATGCGCTGCAAGAACTGTAACTGCGTACATGACGAGGTTCGCTCAGGTGAGTTTCATTTTTTGATTGTTTTAAATCTCCCAAGGATACTTCAATCGGCAAATCCCTGATGTTATGATTCATTTTTATAATTAATTAAAGCATTACCGGAATAACAATTCATGGTTGAAAGAAAACATTCCCATTAAGTGGACTATTGAAGGACCTCTAAACGCTTATATCATTGATCAGTATACGAATATTTTAAGAGGCCTCTACCTAACGATATTCAAACTTTAATCTTTCCTGGGCATTTTGGTATGAATTAAATTAAATTCCAATGATCGGAAATACACTACATAATTTTTTAAAATGTGCTAGTATCGGGTTTGGAAGAAATCTTACTCACATGAAATTTGCCAAAATTTGTATAACATTACATATAAGGTCCGGGACGAAAAGATAGCCCACCCAATATTTTTTCTCTTTTTTTATTCATATAATCTTTTTATTTATTTTGAACCGATTTTCTCCATTAGGAACTGAAAAAATACTTTGTAAGAATTAATGAATAATACTTGATTTAGGGTGAGACAAAAAGATAGCACACTTGTTGTTTATTTACAAACAAAACCAAATCCCTCTGAGTAAACAAGGCTAATTCAGTACAGTTTCTGCATTCATGCATATTAGTGCGATGGGACGAGCAAAACCATTAACACCAGTTGAACAAAATATCATTCAGCGAATGAAAAATCGAAGANGGGGAAGCCAAATATAGAGATGAAAGCTTGACGGATTTATAATACAGTGTACTAATTGAAAGACCGCATACCTAATAATATCTCAAACCAGAGTGTAATCAAAGTTGGTCGATAATGGAATAACCTCGTAAATGTACTAGTGACCTTTTAGCCGCTGCCGAAAACACAGGACCGAAATAAAAGGACTGAAAATCTGAAAAGCTATGACAGGCACATGTCATCTAAATTTCAAATTTCAAAAAGTTGTATCGTTGAAAATTTAAAATTTTCCTTATAAAAAGACTACTAACTTTTTTACCGTTTTAAATTTTATAATTATAAATTTATTTGATAATTATACTTCAGCAACATCCTTCAGCCTTCTACCGATGAGATTTGTCGTTACCCCGACCAACCATGTGTCATCAGTCAGTTTATTACCATTAGAAAGGTATCATCAATATTATCTGATAGTAAAAATTGAGATTATTTTGATACTGCTCATAATAAGGATGTGAAAAATTATTAAACAACTATTAGTTTTGATGATTATACTTTCTTTCCAGCTTGGAAGTTAATGTTAACATAAACTGAAATGCTAAATAGAAATTAAATTGCTATGTGTTCTGAACTTTGGATATTGAACTGTTTGTCCAAGTTGTTTTATGAGTATAATAACTCATTTACAAGACCGAACTCGAACATGGGCATCTTGTCTGGACAAGAGAGGGGAAGTTAATCCGATAACAAATCCCTTAAGTCTTCTAATAATGCTAATTGTCCTTACTCCGTTTCTATTAATAAACTAGAACTCCTCAGCTTTAGAAACATGAAAGGAATTTCTCTCGCGTTACATCGTCCTGAAGAAATGTTGAAGGCATAAACATTTTTCCACCGCTCCCTCTCGGTTCCTTTTGCTTTACAACTTTTTCAAACACTCCTCTGCTCCCGTCATATTCAGCCGGTATTCGATAATGCTCTTGTCGCAATGAACAATTCCTCTTTTAACCGCCATAACGGGAATTGTTTTTCCTCCATTCGATATTTTCCTACAGCAATATACCAACAATTTGCATTTTTCCATTTTGACAGAAAGTTATTTATAAACATATGTTTACAACCTTGTACCTTTATTTTAAGCCTAGTTGGTTATTTTAATTGATTATACTTTCTATCTAAGGTCTTGGTTGATATAAAAATGCTAATGTCACGAGCGGGATTTGAACTCAAGTCCTTTGAATCATGACTTCGATCCAATTGGACACCCACTCCTCACCTCTACCTTAACCATTCGAATTTCTCATGTTTTTGCCATATTTTC